CTCCCTCTCCCCTTTGTGTGTGAGGGTGTAATGGCTCCTGTCTCATCAACAGAACATATTATATAAATGGGTTCATTATATCTGACTTATATTAAGAGTCACCACCTGTAACTTCCATTATCTATGAGTAAGATATGAACGGTACACGTGAGAGGGCAATTCTCCCAAGAGGGAAGAAGCCCATAGACAGCATTCTATGTGAGCCCGCACTGCGACGCCCTTAGTCAGTCACTCACAGCAACTTATATCTTTCGGACGTGATCAACGTTTATATTACATAAACGCCGTCCCTTTCTCATTCACTCATATATAGTGGAACTTACTGTCGATCTACACTCAGGAATTATAAATACAATCCTTTTATAATAAAACAAGGAACTACAGCTGGGTTTCGTTCCTTAAACCCAAATAATAAATATATGTGAACGGCCTGGTTAATTGGACAATCCAGCCGATTCAAGGGCAGTTGACCACAATCCCCCACTTTCCTCAACCATAAGCAAGCCATCTCCTATCTCTCTCACAGTCTGCTCACTCCACTTCTTAGCCTACTCCATCTCACGAGTATTATTACAGAGAATGAAACAAAGAGAAATAAAGAGGAAAATAAAGAACTAAGAAGACAGAAAAAAAGGGAATTAAAAGGTAATATAAGTAATATTGTTACAGATGTGGGCACCTGAACCTCGGCTGTGGACACCTGAACCTTGGGCAGTGGGAGGCTGTGGACACCTGTGTTTGTGATAATTATTGAAAGGATCTTTAATAATAATAATAATAATAATAATAATAATAATAATAATAATAATAATAATAATAATAATAATAATAATAATTATTATTATTATTATAATAATAATAATAATAATAATAATAATAATAATAATAATAATAATAATAATAATAATAATAATAATAATAATTGTAAAGGTCTGGCCTTTGGGCTATAAATCCCTTGCCAGCCTAATCAGGATCTTATAAAAGTGAAGTCAAGAACCATGGGTTTCCAAGGGGGTAACAAACAACCATTAGAGATTGACATCTCTTTATTACGAAAATAATCACAATACAGTAATTTAACTCTGACACCACTCACACAGATATTAAATAAACAGCACTGGAGTCAAACAATTACTTAAAACAAAACAATTAATACAACAAAGTACAGGTATTTCCTACGGCTGCAGATGAAACTTACTCCTAACCAGCATGGCGGAATGTTCTGGTAACGCTGTGATCTGCTCTCCGGGAGAAGGTCCAGGGCAGCTTCCTCACTTGGCGCCGGCGTTGGTGGACGATGTCTTGTCACACAGGAGAGACGCCAGGGCACGAACTGTGGATAGGGCGTGGAGGAAGTGGCAGCCTTGACAGTAGCTGGAGTAGGTGACCGGAGTTTGACAGGCAAATAGTGAAGGACTTGGGAATCAGCCCACGAGCCCCAAGAGCCTCAGATGAGTACACAACCAGAGTTGGAATAGAACAGCTGGGTGAAGTAACAGCTGTGGTGACGGCTGGATCATGCCTCGTGTGCGATGAGGCAGCAGCGACCATCTGTCTCCTCCGGTGGGCTGCAAACAAGCAAGCGAGCGCGGACAACCATCACCAGCCTAACAATAATAATAATAATAATAATAATAATAATAATAATAATAATAATAATAATAATAATAATAATAATAATAATAATAATAATAATAATAATAATAATAATAATAATAATAATAATATTAATAATACCATAATCATCAGTCAAAACAGGGCCAGACGTTTTGATTTTGACTAATATGCAGATGTATGAATTGTGAATAAATGCTGACTTCTTGCTCATTCCAGGAAACGGTACTTTTTAAAAAGAAGAGAGCAGAAATCTCGTCGACAAACCAACACAAATCAAAGAGAACCTCTCTCTCTCTCTCTCTCTCTCTCTCTCTCTCTCTCTCTCTCTCTCTCTCTCTTTCTCTCTCTCATGGGAGTTCATAAATTATTTTCTCGTAAAATGCTAGATTGGTTAGAGAGACATTGTCTCTCTCACAGGAGCTCAAAATTATGCTTTCAGGAAGTCCAACATGGGTCTTCAGTGAGATCATACACTTTCTCAACATGGGAGGTCTTAATTATTGCTGTACTAACACTTTGCTGTCACTCGGAATCAAGTATGACAATAATCCAGCTATGATAAAATGTACACGTTATTAAGGATGTCACCTTCGTTGGTGAGCTCTGACGTGACTCAAGAGGCCGATACTGGATGGCAGGGTCATTCACAGAGGTTGCACTAGTGGAGGGAGCGATCTCTCGCTCTTTCTCTACCAATAGTGGTGTCCCAGAGGGTTCTGTTCTTTCACCTAATCTCTTCCTTCATTTTATCAATGATTTACTTCACACTACGACTAATTCTATCCATTCTTACGCTGATGATTCTACTCTTCACTCCTCTTCACATTTTCCCCTTCCCCCTTATTCCCAAACTAAACCTGTTTCTAGAGCTGATGTCATTTCATCTACCAATGCGAATCTGTGCAGCATATCCGAATGGGGAGGTAGAAACTTGGTTAAAATCAAAAGTAATAAAACACAGTATTTACCAATTACACTTTCCAAAATAGAAGATCTCCCACTAATCACATTTCAGGATACAATCATTCTGCCAAATTCTAAAATATATATGCTAGGCCTCACCATTTCCTCTAAAATGTAATGGAAGTTACACATCCACAACATTGCTAAAGCTGCCTCCCGAAAGTTGGAAATACTGCACAGATGCCGAAGCTACTTTACTCCTGAGCAGTTGCTTCAAGTTTATAAGGGATTCATTCGTCTTAACTTGGAGTACTGCTCTCATATCTGGGGTGGCTCTTCTTCTGCCCAACTGATAGATAGGGTGGAATCAAAGGCATTTCGTCTCCTCTAGTTGATAATCTCTCTCCCCTTATCTCTTCGCCGCAATGTTGCTTCACTCTCTCTCTCTTTTACAGGTACTTTAACGGGCACTGTTCGGTGGATTTGGCATCCTGTGTACCGTCGGCAAGGCCGTGGGCTCGTAACACACGTCTTGCCCGCGGTGCCCACTGTTTCTGTGTGCATGTCGGTCACACTAAAATAACCCGTTATAGTACCTCCTTCTTTCCTCACACAGCTAAACTGTGGAATGCTCTGCCTTCTTCTGCGTTTCCATACTCATAAAGTCTGTCTCACTTCAAAAAGCTGGTTTTGCATCATCTTCGTGGGGTAGATTAATATAGTCTTTTTATTTTTTTTACTCTTTTTTTCGCCCTCTAGGGTCGATGACCTGCGTCCAGGTGGGCTATTCCACTATGTCAGAACAAAGACTGAATGGAATAGCTTTGCTGTTAGTCCACAAGGATATGGAACTGAATTGCTATGAGGTCATCAATGAATTTGGTCGTAAGAACAGATTACTTGACATTAGACTTCACAAGTAAGCTGATACTCTCTCTCTCTCTCTCTCTCTCTCTCTCTCTCTCTCTCTCTCTCTCTCTCTCTCTCTCTCTCTCTCTCTCTCTCTCTCTCTCTCTCTCTCTCCTATATATATATATATATATATATATATATATATATATATATATATATATATATATATATATATATATATATATATATATATATATATATATCCACCTGTCTATCTATCTATCTATCTGTCTGTCTTTTAACTCAATTGCCAATTACTTAATTTTACAACAATCCTAGAAGAGAAAAATATGTTTACTTTTAACATGTATGTATATTTTTGGCTAAGGAACTTTTTTGTTCTATGAATACAATTGCCTGTACTGTACACTGTATAATTTGTTTTATAACAGTTTCCAAAAATGCAACTGCAAATTAAACCTGCTGTATATCTGCTTATTTTACTGCTATGTAAATAAAATATGCTTACTATGAAAAGTGAATGAAAAATAAAAAGGGTGTCCTTTTACATAACTTTGTTAGCAACGACTTGAAACCTAGAAAACAATGTATTAGCGTTCGCAACAAGGCAAACAGGATTCTTGGGTTCATATCTAGGTCTGGGAGTAACAGAACTGCTGACGTTATCTTGAAACTTTACCTAGCATTAGTGAGGCCACACATGGATTATGCGGTTCAGTTCTGGTGTCCTTATTATAGAATGGACATAGATTCTTTGGAGAGAGTACAAAGAAGAATGACAAAAATGATCCATAATATTAGAAACCTTCCATATGAAGAAAGACTGAAAAGCTTAGGCTTACATTCATTAGAGAGGCGTAGAGTTAGGGGAGATATGATAGTGGTGTACAAGTGGGTAAGTGGGATTAGCAAGGATATGGAAGATGTTCTGAAGCTCAGTAATAACGAAATAACTAGAACAAATGGCTTTAAATTAGATAAATTCCGATTCAGAAAGGATATAGGCAAGCACTGGTTTGTAATAGAGTTGTGGATATGTGGAATAGCTACCGAGTGCTATAGTAGGATCGGGGACGCTAGGGAGCTTCAAAGACGAAGTTGGATAGGCACATGGAAGTGCTGGGATGGGTGTGAAAGGATCTGCCTGTATGGGCCAGTCGGCCTCCTGCAGTATCCCACTTTCTTATGTTCTTATGTTCTATGTTCTTTTACACAGCCTTTTCTTGAGACTCACGAGACTCCCCCTACCCCCCCCCCCGTCCATGAACATATATACGCCACTGCCGTGGGGTAACTGTTACGCCTATACACACACCCTCCGTCCCACACCACACTCCTCATCCCTCACGCATCCCTCCCGCCCTCACTCCACCTTCTCCACCTCACTTTCTAGACTCTAGAGCCTAAAGTTTGGGAATCATTGGTTTAGGCCCTAAACCAATGATTCCCAAACTGTGTGCCGCTGTTTTCTCGTAAGTCTGTCGCGAAAATCTGCTGGAAAGGTATATACTGTACGTGTGATCAAACTACTGTAAATGATCATATCTCCTAACCTAAGATGATTGATTATGACTTATATGTCATTCTTGTTAATGTAAGCAACCTCCATGCTTTGTGAAGAAATGGGGTCTACTCGTGTACCCTTTATCCTCCGCATTGAAGTCAGATGGTTATCAAGAGGAAGAGTGTTGTCTCAAGTACCTGAGTTGGGAGAGGAAATGCTTACCTTCTTTACTCTTGAAGAGAAGCTTGAGTTTTGTGAATTATTAGCTGGTGAAACCTGGTGTGCCAAGTTATGCTACTTAGCAGATATTTTTGAACACCTGAACAATGTCAATAGTAGCATGCAAGGAAGAAATGAAAATATAATAACTTTTTCGGACAAAGTTAAGGCCCTGGCAGAAGAAAAAATGAGTCTCTGGAATGTTAAAGTGAAAGAGGACAACTTGGACATGTTTCCAAAGACTGCTGATGCAAATAATAAAGAGATGGTTCGGCTGATCTGTGAGCACCTCGGAAACCTAGAACAGAACATTCAAAAGTATTTTCCAAATATATCTGTTGAAAGTTATGATTGGTTGAGAAATCCATTCATACAAGATGCGTCAAACAAACAGCAACTTACAGTAGTCTCAGGGAGGAGGAGGCATTAACAGACATCCGTAATGACCGCACTTTAAAATTAATGTACATGGAAGTGTCACTTGAAACTTTCTGGACACATATTGAGGACGAATTCCCATAAACAGTGAAAAAAATCTCTGACAATTCTTTTGCAGTTTTCTACCTCCTACTTGTGTGAACTGGGGTTCTCCGCGCTCACAAACATAAAATGTAAGAAAAGAGCAACACTGCAAAGTGTTGAAGAAGAAAAGAGAGTGTGCTCGACCAATGTTCTTCCTAATATACAGCGGATCTGCAAATCCAATCAAGCTCACGTGTCTCACTAACAAGGACAAGAATCAAGTACGTTTTTATTTTAATAATGTAATTTACATATCACTTCCAAATGAGTTTACAAGTCTAGATTTAATCTATATACATAACACATAATACTAAGTTTTGTGCAGGTTTCTTCATCCAAACCTAATTTCAACATTATTTTCAATAAAAAAAGTCGGTGCGCCGTAAAAATAATACAAATTAATTGAAAAAATATACTTATTATTTACAATATTGATTAGTAGTGAAGTAAAAATGATAGGTAATTGGTGACTAAGCATCAGAGAGCGCTTGGGCGGTCAGTCGCGTCTCTGTTATGCACTGTTGGCAAATACTGAGCATGCACAATACTCTCTGGCAGGTTGTTCCAAAAGTTCACAATTCTCACTCAGAAAAAGTTTGCTCTCGCAGTTTTCTGGACTTGTGGCTTCTTCAACCTTGAGCCATGACCCCTTGTGGGGCGGGCGTCCGCCAGCTCCAGATATGGACACTTGACTCAGTAGCGCCGCGCCCTCTGAGATGTTTATACACTACAATTAGGTCACCCCTTGCCCTCTGGATAACTGAGATGCCGTGGTGCAGGCACCAGTCTGGTGGCCCTCCTTTGGACATTTTCAATCAACTGAATCTCTTGCATATCTCGGGGACCAGACGGGGTAACAGTACTCCAGACGGGGAAGCACCTCACTCCTGAAGATCGTTACAAAGGACGTACCGTCTAGATATCTGAACGACCTTCCTATAAGACTACTAGTTTAGTTGCTTGATTCACCTTCTTCTCATAATGGCCCAAGAAATTCAGTTCATTGTCAACATTCACACCCAGGTCCTTTTCACATTCAGTCTCTATTAATGCAGTTTCTTCGTCCTGCTGGTGGCATGTGATACGCCTCCTTACCGTTGGTATGACCTAGGTGCATCCTCTTACACTTCGTGACATTGAATCTTATCAGCCATTTCTTCGACCACTCTTGAAGCTGACAGCGATCTTTCTGTAGCTCTTCACAGTCTAATGTGTTTCTATAAATTCTCTGCCGCTTAAAAAGTTTTAGCAGTTACTAACGTGATAATCCTTAAAAGAAATTAGTACAAATCAAGGCTTTACTTCAATGACTGAAAGAGCCGATGATAATAATAATAGTAATAACGATAATTATAATAGTAATAATAACAGAAGAAGAAGAAGAAGAAGAAGAAGAAGAAGAAGAAGAAGAAGAAGAAGAAGAAGAAGAAGAAGAAGAAGAAGAAGAAGAAGAAGAAGAAGAAGAAGAAGAAGAAGAAGAAGAAGAAGGAAGAAGAAGAAGAAGAAGAAAGAAAGAAGAAGAAGAAGAAAGAAGAAGAAGAAGGAAGAAGAAGGAAGAAGGAAGGAAGGAAGGAAGGAAGGAAGGAAGGAAGGAAGGAAGGAAGGAAGGAGAAGAAGAAGAAGAAGAAAAGAAGAAGAAGAAGAAGAAAGAAGAAGAAGAAGAAGAAGAAGAAGAAGAAGAAGAAGAAGAAGAAGAAAGAAGAAAGAAGAAAGAAGAAGAAGAAGAAGAAGAAAGAAAGAAAGAAGAAGAAGAAGAAGAAGAAGAAGAAGAAGGAAGAAGGAAGAAGAAGAAGAAGGAAGGAAGAAGAAGGAAGAAGAAGAAGGAAGAAGAAGAAGGAAGAAGAAGAAGGAAGAAGAAGAAGGAGGAAGGAAGAAGAAGGAAGAAGGAAGAAGAAGAAGGAAGAAGGAAGAAGAAGAAGGAAGAAGGAAAAAGAAGAATGAAGAAGAATAAGGAGGAAGAAGAAGAAGGAAGGAAGAAGGAAGAAGGAAGAAGGAAGAAGAAGAAGGAAGAAGAAGAAGGAAGAAGAAGAAGGAGGAAGGAAGAAGAAGGAAGAAGGAAGAAGAAGAAGAAGAAGAAGAAGAAGAAGAAAAGAAGAAAGAAGAAGAAAGAAAAGAAGAAGGA